TATATATACACACACATATACACACACACACACACACACACACACACCCTCTCCTCCTGACATATTTGTTTTTTTTATCATACTTGTTGGAGTAGTTGTTAAAAAAACAGATTGGCATGTGTTAAAATTTGATTGAAGCCCTTCAGAATAAGAGTCAGTGACCCCCCCCCTCCCGCTGGGTTCCTTGACGGTGGTGCCCTGTTCAGACCTTGAGGTGTCAGGAACTGCAGCCTGGCCAGGACGAACCAAGGCTCTTGGCACTGATCGAGCGCTCAGGTCGCTTCATGTAAGTGTTCACCATCACCTTGCTTGTGCTTCAACTGAGTTACGCATATGAAAACCCAGGTCTCTGGTTGCCTCCAAGCTTCCAGATTTTTTTTTTTTCGGGCAATATTTGACAGCTGCATGTTTATCATGATTACTATTTTTTTTGCCCTCTGCTCTTAATGGGTATTTGCTTGAGGGGCTGCATCTACCTTCTGCCAAGCTGGCAGATTTTTCATGTTACATGAGCACATGGTGCTGTCAGCAGAAGTGCTGATTGGTGGACTGAGCAGTCATGTATAGCTACTGACTGGCCACTGGCTGGAACATGATGGATCTTTAGGCCAGGGAAGCCCCCAAGTGCATTATGGTCATTGTTTCAACTGGTAGATGGTCTATTCTCTGGGCAATCCACTGACATGCACTTAGGTTCATTGCATCTCTAAAATGCTCATGTGTATGTGAGTGTGAAGCCCTGCATTGTTCCATCTTCTGTCCTAATCAGGGCCACTTGCAGGGTCTGGAGGTTTGTTATATTTCATAATGATGACATTATGACATCGTGGCAAAGTGTCTACTTCTGTATTATAATATACAAAAACTATAACTTTAAGGGTGTAGAGTCATAAGCAGAAGGTTGCTGGTTTAAGTACAAGAAATATTCTTGCTCTTAATTGAGGTTTTCAAGTCAAACTGCTCCAGTAAAATACAGTCGATTCTCCATATGCACAGGGGATTGATCCCCTGCAGATACCAAAATCCACAGATGCTCAAGTCCCTTATATAAAACAGCATAGTACTTGTATTTGCATATAACTTTCACACTCCTTCCATGTACTTTAAATAATCTCTAGATAACTTACAATACCTAATACATAATACCCAATACTATGTAGTATTAAGTGCTATGCAGCAACTATCATAGTACATGTAGAATATATAGTTATACAGAAATACAGAAAATATAAATGTATTCTCTCTCTCTCTCTCTCTCTCTCTGTCACATGCACACATACACACACACACACCAACACCCAAAACTACACATGACTTAATTTGTATGGATTCAGCATGCTGCTCAGCACGTGGCATATTCAAGTCCTGCTTTTTTGTAACTTTCTGGATTTTTTTTTTTTTTCTGAATATTTTTGAATCTGTGCTTCATTGAATTCCCAGATGTGGAATCTGTGGATATGGAGGGCCGACTGTATTCAGGAGTAGAAATATCTATAAAAGCACCTAAACATAATTTCAACGCTTTGACTACTGATGAAACTGCTCCAGTAAGCCACCTATTTCCCTCAGTCTGTGCAGAATGGCTTCGCTGGTGGACGGCACTTGTGGAGAGTTGAGGAGGCCAGGTTTTGGGTCAGGGTTCGGCTCGGTCTGGCTGCTTGATGATGAGCCCCGGTGGTGCTGCTCGCTGGGGGACTCTCTGCCCTGCTCCTAAGCCCCGGCCACCGGAACCAATGAAGCTCACGCATGTGGCCTTTTAAACTCGTCCAAACTGCGCGCCCTGAGGCCAGGCCTCACCTCTAGGGAGCTCGCGGCTCGCGCTGGGCCGAGGATGACCGAGTCCAAAATGCTCTGGGGCCCTCACGGAAGGAGAAGGTTCGAGACGACGCAAGGAGGTTCTTGCACCCAGGAGAAGCAGTGGAGCATGCATGGGGGCGGCTGCATCCGTTTGCTATGTAGCGACAGATTAAGAGGGTGGTAGCTCCTGTGCTTTTGCACTGGGGGCGGCATGTACTGCTTCAGTGGAGTCCCATAACTCACCTGGGGCTTAATCTTAGCCACGGTGCGACAGCTGCAGGCTGGTTTTCTCTCCTCTGTCCCATGAGTCACATGATGTACTAATGTACGGCTGATTTTTTTTCTTCACTTTCATTGTTCTTCATAGCTGCCTGTATTTGTTTTTAAGCCATTCTGCGGACACACCTTTCCGGAGCAGTCTTGTACTTATAAGTATACAAAGCCTTTTAAAAAAAATGTACGCCGGCTGCCAGGGCTGGGCCGCCCTGTGGGCGACATGACTGACGTCCTTGGGAGTTGTTTGATTAAACAGCACAAAACTACAAGTGAAAAAATATCACAAGAAATACCACAGGTTTTATTCTGTGACATTGCAGTTATTTACACGATTTTTAATATATCACACCTTTTCTCTTGAAACAGATGTGAGCTAACTAGTTAGCAGCCAGATATCCTGTGCTACTGAAATGTTTTTAATATAAATGAACTGATAAAATTTGTTATCTACTGCTCTAGGGCGTGCAGGGGGAGGGGAGGGGGTGTCTTAACACCCAGGGCCGGCCCTGCCATCACCCACTAGCACCCATGACTGGTGTGACACGTCAAACACTCTCTAGGACACCTTTTCTAACGAATACAACAATGGGATTTTCCGGTTTATTGCATCCTGGTTGGCCAGGAGCTTTAGTTTAACAGGCATGTGTCCGTACAGGCCCTCCTCCCAGCACTTGGGGTTCATTTATTTATTAACTTATTTTATTTAGCAGGCGCTTTTGTCCAAAACAACGTACAAGTGAGGTAAACAGTGCATTACTAACATAGGGCTGTCCGGCAGTCAACTCAGCATAAGTGCAGCTAGGCTGAGCTCCTAGTGAACGCCCAGTTACAAGTGTAAGCAGTATTGCGGCAAGAGTGATGCAACACCTTCCGAACAAAGCAAGAATCTAATGAGACAATTATTCAAATCAGCAAAGAAAGTACAATACTATGACCGTTCGGGGAACGTGGAGCGGTGTAGGCTAGTAGAGGTGTTCCTGGAACAGTGTCATTAGGAGCTTCTTGGTGGGGAGGGAATCTGACAAATGTGGTTTGGCAGCTCATTCTAGTGCCGGGAAGTGACACATGAGAAATGTCTTATGTGAAATTTCTCACATGCTGGAGGGATGCCAGAGCGGCTGTGCTGTGCTGACTGACTGAAAAGGGAAATGCAGATGTATTTCTGCAGAATACTGACTGCTGAATGTTGGCTTTCTGCGGAATAATTTTGTTGAGTCTCTGATGCGTGTGTCTCTTTCTCCATGATGAAATTTTATCCTGAAGCAAAACAGGCAATGTCAGGCCTGCATTTGTGTTCATCAGCAGTTACAGTAGCTGTATATCTAACTTACTAACTGTTTAATAGTTAAAGGAATATTTATGTATACAGTTGGATACTAGGTTTTCGTTGTAAGTGAGGGTGCACCTAGCCTGCTGCCGTGTGCTGGGTTAGGCACAAGGTCCCATTGTTTAAAATGCACTTGGAATTAGCATACTTTTCCCACAATGCAACTCTCTCTTTATTTTAGATGAGCAGTTTGAATGAAGTTCTGTAAACTTGTTGTGATTTGTTTTCACCCCCCGATAGACTGGGAGTTTTAGCTAACCCAGATGACTTGGCGACGAGACCAGTGCCCCAGTTGTCCATCCCCATCAATACCCATTTCCACATGGTGCGAGGTGAGTAGGCGCAAGACCCTGTCAGCTGACCAAAGTCCTCTGCGTGCTTTTCCCAAGGTCAGGACAGTCCGCATGAGGCACCATTTAATGGGGGTGCTCTGGGATAAAAATGGACAGTGATAGAGGCTCCCTGTGATATATCACTTAAATGTTGCTCTACCGCTGTGCATATATTGTACATTGTTGTAACCAAGAACTCAAAGTTATATTGTGGAAAAAAAGCCAGTCATTACAGTGTCATAAAGACTGTCGGAACAGGAAAGGTCCTCATTTCTTGATAAGTCAAGGTCTCTTGACATAAGGTCACTTCAGAACAACCTCTACTTTCCTGTATTTCATATAATGCTGCCCCTTAAAAAAACCCTTTGTGAGCCATATGCATATTTTTTTCTAACGTTTTCAACGATTCTCCTTGCAGAGGCGGAGGAGGCCCTTCTTATCGACTTCTCCATTAACTGTGAGTAGTTGGGAAAAGCTTCTGGGATGTCAGGTGATCCGAATGGCCCCGGGGTGGAGTCGCGTGGTCCACAGCAATTAGAAACCGGATAGCCTCAGGCCGAGAGAAGACAACCGACAGCCTTGTTGTGCGCTGCTGATTTTACAGAGAAGCTGTTGCACAATAACTACTTACTTGATAATGCTGAAGCTGTACAAACCACATATGCTAAATGCTAACAGTATGTGGTATGTTGTATCTGTGAGGACTTCCTGGTATGTTCCCCCGTGAGCGTGTTTACGTCTGCACCCCCTATCCCCCTGTTGTGTGCTGCCACAGCCCATATCCGCCTGCGGGTGCAAGGCGAGCTATCCCCTGAGCTGCTGCTGGAGCTGCCCGACGATGAGAAGAGTCAGGCCTTCCTCGCGCAAGTGGACAAGTGCAGGCAGCAAGGTGTGTGTGGGTGGGAGTGCCCAGCCTCCAGCGTGGGGCAGGCACCAGCACGCAGCATAGCTCACAGTTTTATAAGCCCCAAAAAAGCAATTTAACTACAAAGTTTAAGGTTTCATTGGTGTTCCCAATGACAACAAAAAAAAGATTTTTATTATATCTAGAGCAGCTCTGAAAGACTGCAAACCAGTCTGTCTTGATTTTTTCCATGTTTTTTTGTCCATTCAGGTTTTTTCTCATTGTTACTATTCAGCTGAGGGTCATAGGGTCATTTAGAAATAGGGCAGCTTCTCAGTGAACCATCCTTCTGAAAGCCCTTTGTTTTTTTTTTCTTTTGCACTTCTGAGATGTGTTGCACCCCTTGGTGTAAACACGTACCTCTGAGCCTGACTAAGCCAGTTGTAATTGCTGGAATCCCCTGGCGTCCATATCTAGGAAATCTCGCACCATGCCAGAGTCCCAAACATGCCACGGCTGGCAGCTGTTGGTTTGGGAGGAATTTGAAATGGCTGGTTCTGTGTCAGCCGATGGTCGCTGGTGGACCCGCTCAGTCGGCGTGCTCGGTGATGATCCAGTGGAGGTGTCGGAGGTAGCACTCCGGGTAATGTCACTGGAATTCACTCAGTGGTGATATTGTTTGTAATATTTGTAAATACACTCTGCACTACGGTGCCACAGTGCTTTAGTCTTACAAAGCAACCATGCAAATGCAAGTTTCTCTCGTGCTTGAGTCTGTTCTCACAACTCATGCTGAAGCTAGAAGGACTCTGTCCACAGCGGACCGGATCCAGCCCTGCATTAATGTACATGATCAGTTTGGCCTTGTTTCAGCCCTCTCCAAGGCCAGGCCGCCTATAAGCACGCAAGCTGTTCCTCCCAAAGCGATGGTCCATGCTGCCCCAAACAGCACCCCCAGAGCCCCCCCTCCCACCTCAGTCACCTTGAAACACATCAACAGGACAGGTACAGAAGACACACTTCGTCCTTCAGACCTCTTGGGCCAGCCGGGGTTAAATTAGCCTCCCTCTTGTCTTACCAGAACCACTCGATGGCGCCATCTCTCTGGTGACCGATTTTGGCTTTGAGGAACACTTCGGCCACTCTCTGAAGGTGGACGAGAAGAAGAACCAGCCGGTCCGCCCAGTTCGGCCACCACCCCCCCCACCAACTAAAACTCCGGAAGTGCAGGGTAAACAGGGGTTCCTTCATACTCCTGGCAACAGAGAGTAAGTGGAACATTCCTGATTCTCGAGCCATCAACTTCCTGGGAGATGTGTGCGGCTGTTCCTTGGTCATGTGCTCCGTGTCGGTTAAATAGTTTATGAAGAGTATGTATGGACAGGGCCTCGGATATTTCAGGTGAGAGAGACAGTTTGTGCTAATGATTCAGTCCAGTAGTTTCTGGGCCCAGTCATCCTGTTCCTGACTCATGTCTTCCTCTTGTTGCCAAGCAACGGCCAGGAACATTTCCTTAATCTTGTTTAAATAAACAGCAGGACAGGCTTGATACGCCAACTGCCTGCTAATTCGGTTTCCTAACCGCTGTCTCACCTGCTGTCTCTGCTCTTGGGCGCTACCCTCCCCTGTCAGTGCCAGGCCCCCTCCGAACGCACCCCCTGAGTGGCAGCCTACCAGCAGCATCCCAAAGCAGACCACACTCGTCCAGCATCACCTAAACAAGAGGGAGAAGGAATACGTGGACATCCACAACTTCAGGTGTGCTTTTCTGGCCTTTAGGGGTTTAAGATGGGCCCAGACTGGCATCGCAGAGCTGGGAATATGATGATGGTAATGGGGCTGGGATCACTCTGTGTTTCCTGAATCCATGTCCAAGGCATGTGAAACAGGCTTGCTAGGTCTGTCACTGTCACTCCCTCAGCACTTCCTTGGTTTACGTATTTTGTAGCTGTCATACATCATTCTTGTTGTATTCCGACCTCGGGACCTTTTCCATGGAGACGGCTGTTGCTGGCCCACCTAGCTTATCAGTACTGGGTTTACTGTGCTGTTTGCACTCGCCAGTGTCAGTTGTCCTTTCTTTTTGCACTGTCCTGAAATGTTTGCTCAATTTTTACACACCATTCAGTCTGCGTTGCTAGGTTATGTGCTAGTCTTGTGTTAATTTATGTAGCACCTTGGTCCAAGAAAAAGACTGTTTCATCTTTAATTGTGTGCTGTACTCAACTGTTTATGTTTAAAAATTACATTAAAGGCCTATTAGACTTGACTCAACTTGATTTGAAGGCTGATTTGGCCCCATCTCATCCATGTTCTGCCCTGCAGGGTCTTCGTGGGCACGTGGAATGTGAACGGTCAGTGTCCTGACAGCACCCTAGATCCCTGGCTGAAGTGTGACGAGGAACCCCCGGATATCTACGCCATGGGGTCAGTCTCAGGCTTCGCGGTCTGCTGTGTCTGTGTATGTGGGGTGGGGGCATCATCTTTAAGCAGGCCTCCTAGTTGCCAGGCTTTGAGTCCCAGGAGGGTGCACAGCGATGAACTGTGAGTGTAGATCTACTTATGTACTTAATTTCTACAAGTGCCATTTGCCGGGATGTTCCAGCCCAGTGTGATCAGCTCTAATACAGAGACATGCCATGATGAACTCCAGATATCAGTGAGCTGTGAATGGAATGTGAGAGGAAAGTGAATGGAATGTGAGAGGAATGTGACACAGAGGGAGTGTCAGCTACAAATGGCTAACTTCGTCTTATGACCTCATATGTGGGTCATTCTGGTTCAATGCAACAAATAGCCCATGCTCAGTCATCTCAGACTGCCGTTTTGTGGCATTTTGTTTGCCTCTGGGCCAATATGAAAAATCCAAAATTTCCCTGGCTTAGCTCATATAGTTTAGGAGTTGACTGGCTTGAAAGTCAAATAGTTTTTCCTTCCATTCGAAAAAATGCTTGGTTGGCCATTTTCAGATGTCTGTATCTTTGCAATAGTAACGCCGAGGCGCCTGCAAAATTGTGGACATACAAGCCTAATTCCAAATATTTATTTATTTAGCTTGTAGCATGTACTCAACATAAGATAAACAATTCTTTCTCTTATCTTTCAAGAGGCCCAGAATCTCAAAAGGTAGAAAAAATATTGTCACTTTCATTGTGTCATTTGAAAGTTCTAGGTTCCATTTACAACATATATAAAAAGAATTTTCTGCTGTAAGTGTTTTACTGAGCTCCAACAGAAATAAAACCCTTAAACTCAATTTTGGACGATACCAAATATTCGTTGAGTTGAGCCAGAATGACCCATATGTCATGTGACTTCTACATGTCCACCTCTTGTTTTTCCATCAGCTTCCAAGAGCTGGATCTGAGTGCTGAGGCCTTCTTCTACTTGGACTCGTCACGGGAGCAGCAATGGGTCGCCGCAGTGAAGAGCTCCCTGCACCCCAAGGCCAAGTACATTCAGGTGAGGCCAGTCGGGGAGTCCTGGTTGCAGTGATAAATAGGTGATTTTTCAGATGGGAATCAAACTTACAACCTTCTGGCCAACAGAGCCACACACCCTTAACCCAATGAACTACATCATACCGCTCCCACACATAAGTAAAGAAACATGCATACATATGCAAATCCGTCACGTACTTTATACATATTGACCAGTAGTTCCACACGCACAGATATTTGTTGCTTTACTAGATGGTCGCCCATAGAGGGTGCAATGGAAACAGAAAGGTGGCAGTCAGAAGGCGTCATCATTGTGGGGGGGGGGGGGGGCACAGCCGGCTTTACATTGCCGGCTCTGTCCACAGATCCGGACGGTCCGCCTGGTGGGCATGATGCTGGTGATGTTCATAAAAGCGAAGCACGGGCGCCTCATCCGGGAGGTGGCCGCGGAGAGCGTGGGCACCGGAATCATCGGGAAAATGGTAAGAATGAGCAGCGTCCGGGCGGATCTGTGGGCGACCCCCTTCCGGCCTCCCGGAGGAGCGCTCCCCCACCCCCTCCCCACACCCCCTTCCAGCCTCCCGGAGGAGCGCTCCCCCCCTCCCCACACCCCCTTCCGGCCTCCCGGAGGAGCGCTCCCGGCCAGTGGTGGAATGTAACAAAGTATTTGTACTTCGTTACTGTACTTAAGTACATTTTTACGTATCTGTA